GTCTGGACGTTCCCCCTGTCGACATCAAAGCCCTTTGTCGGCAGCCCTGTTATTCCTCGTGGAATGAGGTTTTTGATGTCGACAGGGGGAACGTCCAGACTAGCTGATCAGCTGTTTGTCGGCTCAGCGCGGCAGCCATGTAAATGTAAATGAAGCCGTGATCATTTAAATCGCGGCTTCATTTACCTTTGCTGAACAAACAAATCTACATGCCTCTGCTGACAGAGGCATGTATTGTAGACGTACCCTAAGGGAGTGAGGGGAGAGTACTTGCATTCCATTCATGCCTCTCACTCCTGGCTGGCATGCTGGGGGCAGAGCAGGATCACTGAAGGATGGGGTAGGGCCTTCGATGGAGAGAGGGCTATCTCAGGCCTAATACAGCCCTGCCTAATACAGATCCTGGGGGAACCCATTGGGCACTTCCTTACTTTGTGAGCTCCTGTGAGCCATAGTCCACCTGTGGCCTCTCTGTGCCGGAGCAAGGGGCTTTTTAAGAGAAAACCAAGGTGCTGATAATTCTAATGGCATGTCTCTCTGAGCTAGTGCACTCAGGCAACCTGGCAGCAGGGCAGCAGAAGGTGGAGGGGAGAAATAACCCTGGTAGGCTGCCTTTTTTTTACTGCCCACCTCTGCTCTAGCCCCCATGGGAGAGCTACAAGGCTCAAGTCTTACCTCCTGGCTGGATTAACTCCGGAGCCTGTGGATTTTGAGGGCTCCTGACATGGGGCTAGCCTCTAAGGCCAAAAGGGCCATAGAGAAGTCCTCCAGGAGGCTAGAGTGACTAGGAGGAAACCAGCCAATCAGAGGTCTAGAGGGACCAAACAAAAGGAGCTGCAGGACTAGAAGCAATTCACTTACAGCCCAGACTTGGACTGGAGAATGTCAGGGGTGGCTGGCTGCCAGAACCAAGGACAGCTCAGAGTGGGGAGCTGTGTAGGACATGGACTCCAGGAGGAGAAATCTTGGGAGTACTGCTCTTATATGAAGTGGGGAAACTGATTGAGAGACCAAACTGGACTGAGAGACACACTCTACAGAGGGCACCAGGATGGGCCTCTGTTAGAGGTGTACCCCGGAAGTGGTTTCACGCAAGCCTGTGAGACTCAGCTGGACGGCTGACTCGCCAAAAGGCTGAAGGCAGTGCAAGAACCTGCATTTGGCCAAATGGGGGCACTTGCATGAGGTGTTCTAATCCATACCACTTCCCACTGGTCCCATTGGCCGGGAATAGTGATCCACAGCTAATGGGAGCTGCAATTGCCAGTGCCTGCAGAGGTGGTGATGGCCTGGCAAAGCACTCTATTTTATTGCCCACCCCTGATATAGAGTAAAGCAGCTGTGCATGAGTCCAGAAGGAAATTGAGGGGGTAGGGAACTCTTTAAATGTAGGCAGAGAGAGTGTTTTGGTATTTACAGGGTTAGGCCTCTGTTAAGTGGGAGTTTTGTGGCAGTTATGCCTAATATTGGAATTTAGGTGCCTAAGGCTGAGGCTTAGGGGCTTTAGTCCCTTTGTGGACCTGTGCCTGAGTGTTTTCTGAACACCATATGATTCTTCTTGGGAATAAAATTACCTGAGGAAATACCCGGAAGACTCTCTGGAAACGTGGAAGTTGACTAGAGAAGGTTTAAGCAGTGCCACACTCTGTGTTTTTGGTGGGTGGCTGGAAAAAGAAAGACAGTCAGAAGTTGCTCTTAATTCTGACAAGGGTTGGCTCTGATGCACTTGATGGGATTAATAGTTTTCAGTTAACCCAGGGCAGGTCTACACTTAGGGAGAGTGACAGAATTGCAGGGCACCTGGGCAAGGTGGGGAGGGTTGGGGCTGAGAAGCTAGGGAAGGGCAGCCCTCAGTGCCGCTTGGATCATACTGCACGGCCTCCAGCCACCCTTTAGCTCTAGTTGTGTGAATCGTTGGGCCCTAGTGCAGTTGCCTGCTTTGTCACCCCCTCCTCTGTCTACACTTAAAAAGCTGTAGCAGCCCAGCTGGTCTGGAATAACTGCATCAGTGTAGTAGTGCTTCAGTGAAGATGCTGCACAGAGAGCTTCTCCTGTCACCTCTGAGAAAGGTGTTGATGGGAGAAGCCTGCCCATTGACCAAGCACTGTGTACACCATGGATGGGGTGGCTATAACTGCTTTGTTCTAGGGTGTGGATTTTTCACACCCCTGAGCAATGTATTTATACCAATGTAAGTTTGTAGGCTAGCCCCGGCCTGAGGCAGAAGAAGCTAATTATGAAAAAAGTTAAAACATGTAAGGAGTTCCACCCTTTCTGAATAGACAGGAACTTCTTTAACTGTCAATGTCTCATCCAAAAAGCCCCTGCACAGCAAAGTGCACAGCATATAATCTCTTTTGTTACTGTTTATGGACAAGTGGTAGGATGCAACAGAAGAAAGACATTGGGTATTAAGTCTAGATTCTACTAGCAGTAAGCTTTCACATTTCATGCTTATTTCTTAACAAGATTCATTGACTTTATAACCTCAGTTCTCACTGTTGGTAAAACTTATTAAAGCCAACAAGAAGAAAAGGACTCAACCCGACACAGAATCAGGCCATACAATGGACAAATAAGTTTAAGAAATAACAGTTATATAGGAAGATGAGAGACCCTGTAGAAATTAATTTTAATGAAAAATGAAAATTCATTAAAGATCCACAGAAAATTTTCCTTTTTAATGAAAAACCCCAAAATATTTATCAGAAATGAAAAATGTTTTGGTTTTATTAAATTAGAATATTTCTTGTGAAATAGCTTTTCTCATTATTATAACACAAAATTTCACCTTTCAACAACATTACGGGTTGAACCTCTCTAGTCCAGAGCCCTCAGGACCTGACTGATGAAACAATTTTCCGAACTGGGGAGTCAATATTGTCTAGCAGCATTACCAACTCTTCTACTGCTTACTGGGCTCTTAGAAGACATTTAGGGGTAAGTTAGAGCTAAATAGCAGCACAGAACACTAAGAACCAGGTCTGGTGTCTGTAAATAAACTTTGTGAGACCATGGAAAACTTGGCCATATCCATGATAAGTAGACATCTGGCTAATTGAAATCATGCCAGACTACAGGTGTTGCCAGACCAGAGAATGCTGGACTAGACGGGTTCAACCTCTAGAACCTATGTTAAAAGGTAATTATTATTAATATTACTCACACTTAGATTAATAGATTTTAAAGCTAAGAGGGACCATGAGATTATCTAGATTCGTTTCCTATATGACGCAGGCCAGACAATTTTATCCAGTTATTCATGTACTGAACCCAATAACCTGTGTGTGACTAAAGCATATCTTCCAGAAATGCATCCAGTCTTGATCACAGCGGCGGATTTAGGGCAGGGCGAGCGGGGCGGCTGCCCCTGGCTCCGCGCTTCCCGAGGCCCTGTGCATGCGCCGTGGCACCACGGCACATGCGCCGTGTCAAAGGAGGGGCCCCGCGAAATTTCGCTGCCCTGGACCCCGTGGCACTTTCATCTGCCCCTGCTTGATCAGAAGACTTCAAGAGACAGAAAATCCACTGCTACGTCCAGTGCTTAAACTTTAATGTCTGTGCCTTTGAAATTCCCAGATGAAAGTGCTTTAAAAACAAAAATTAAGTCCCATAACAGCCTGTGACTTACTCTATGTAAGTACTACAGCACAAATAGGCACACTGACAAAGCGGTTCTGACTTCCCCCAGCACAGTGAACTTGGGTGAATAAAACTTTTATCTGTGGAGGAGTAAGGAAGAGGTTGGTACAGGCTCAGGAAGTGATGTGATGGGTGGAATCCCATTTCTCCATAAGGAGGCCCCTGAAGAAAGGGCTTGAGGCTATCAAGTCGAAGGACACTGCAGGTGTTTGCATCTGAAACAGGAGGTGTTCAGCAGTGGTTGACTTTTTGAGACAGGTTTGTTTTTTTGAAGGAGAGAGAGACTGGCTGGGGCAAGCCCCTTGTATTCTTTTGGCCTGGGCTGCAGAAAGCCTCAAGAGCCCTCTGTTGAATGGGTGCTCCCTGAACGAGAGAGAAACAGTTGTATTAAAGTGAACTGCTTGCAGATTGAAAAGGAAGAACAAAGATTTCCCTCTGAGATCAAAGTATGCCGACTGAGGAAGGTGTTCCTAAAGAGAACCCTCCACAGCCCTACAGCAAGTCACAACTCTGTTATGCCTCCCAGAGAAATCAAGTCAGTAGGACGCCATGTGCTTAAAGTTTAAGCAGGTGCTGAAAAGCTGTGCTGGACTGGGGCCATGCAGCAGACAGCACATAGAATGAATAGAGTACCAAAGCAAACCAACTGCATTTTACTGAGGGAAGTTTCTTCTCCTGCATTTAACTGATTGAACTCAATGTCTCCAGAGCATCCAGTTTACTAACCTCACACTCCTGGGCTATGTCTACACTGGCGTGATCTTGCGCCAGAGTGATGCAAATGAGGCTAAGTGTGGAATATTGCAGAACCTCATTTGAATAGCTAATGAGCCACCATTTTTGCAAAAGAGGCTCTTGTGCAAGATGGAGCTGTCTACACTGCCCCTTTTTGCGCAAGAAAAATCCTCTTGCGCAACGCCGTTCTTCCTGAAAATAATCAGCGTAACAGCATTACGCAAGAGGGTTTTTCTTGTGAAAGAAGGGGCAGTGTAGCCAGCTCCTTCTTGCACAAGAGCCTCTTCTGCAAAATGGTGGCTCATTAGATATGCAAATGAGGCTCGGTGATATTCCACGCTTAGCCTCATTTGCATAGCTCTGGCGCAAGATCGCGCCAGTGTAGACATAGCCCTGTAGTTTGTCTCTCTTCTCTCACAGTAAGAATACAGCAACTACTGTACACAGAGGAAGAAAACACAATGAATATGAAGGAGAGGGGGGAGAAAAGAAAGAAGGAGAAAAAGAAAGTCCTTTAGAGTCAGAGATAAGTAAGGAAGATCAAAGCAAGCAAGGACAACTTCAGGGAGAGAGAAATATCAGATATAGTGTGGAGCTGGGGGAAATCTTCATTTTGCAGTATTCTTTCTGGCCTTCAGCCTGGCCCCACAAAACCACTTCTATCATGCAGATGAAAGATTAGAGCCAGGGATTAAGTTGCTGAAGAACAAAGATTTACAGCTCATGAGGTACATCAGAATCTAAAATAAGATCAGTTCTGTAGCATACAGTATCTCAACCACTTTGAAAACTATGGCAAAGGAAAAAAATTCTTTACATCTCTGAGAGTAGGATTCTGTTAACTACCACAAGAAAGTGATTTCTCAAGACCACTGGAATGTGACTTCTGGTGTGGGGTTCTGCTTAAAATATTCTCTTGTTTGGAGTGTGCTAAGAATGAATTTGATGGAGGGAATCCCCAAAATGGAAAAATATTTTTTCATTTTTATATGTTAAAAAGTCCTAGCCAGAGGAATAGGTTGTTGAGGTGACCAGAAAGACAGTGTCCCATTCATGCAATGTTGCTTAAATGCTGGGGTCTTTTTATTTGGAGCAAATAACAAACACACTAGATATGTTAAACCCTGGAAGGGAAGCGTACATCTGCTAGATCAGAGTCATGTGCCTGAGGAAGGTTCAGAGGACATCAAAAGGGAAGATTTTCTCAGTCGGAACACTGTGGCTGCCACCACTGCTAATTTTTCCAAAAGTGTATTGCAGATACTTCCCTGAAATGATGGTATTTAGATCTTTCCACAGTACAATGCAGCAACCTGTCTAAGCTTGGATTTACATATGGCTGACTGGGCAGTATTGCCAATATAGTACCAGCCCTGTACTCTGACTTGTTCCCAGAAAGGCAGCTACCTGGGGAAATTGGGTGAAAAGCAACACCTTACTAGAGATCTAATTATTATTATTTTTGTTGCAGTAATCTAGAGGCCTCCACTGTCATCAAGGTTCCGTTGTGCTAGGCACTGTACAAACAAACAGGTAGGGTGTGTGTATATATATTTATATATATGCTGCAGTTGGGGGTGGGGGTGCTTCCCAGCATGCTTCCCACACACATGCTAGCTCTGATTGAGCTAATGCGCTTTCAATCACAGTTTCACCGGGATAGTGGCTTGGGGGGTCCAGGTAGGTTTTTACTCAGGTGGCTTGCTTGAGCCACTGCCCATGTGATCATGGTTGTTTTAGCACTCTAGGGCATGTCTACACTGCAACACTATTTAGAAATAACTAGCGCTATTCCGAAATAACTTAGTCCACGTCTACACAGCAGACAGTTATTTCGAAATAGTGTCAAAATAGTGTCAAGCTGGAGGACTTCTTACTCCGACTCCTGTAACCCTCATTGTACGGGGAGTAAGGTAAGTTGGAGGAAGAGTGCTCTATTTCGAAATAAGTGCTGTGTAGACACTCCCTATTTTGAAATAAGCTTTTCAAAATAAGATATGCAATTGACGTAGCTCAATTTGCGTAGCTTATTTTGAGTTAAGTCCTGCAATGTAAATGCACTGTAACTTGAGCAGAACGAGCACACAGCTGTCTATCCATACTGGGTAGCTTATTTTGAGTTAAGTCCTGCAATATAAATGCACCGTAACTTGAGCAGAATGAGCACACAGCTGTCTATCCATACTGGAAAGCACACTTCCAGCTGCCCTGTAGACATACCCAGAAGACAGTCCCTCAGGAGCGTAAAGTCTAAATGCTGAATGTGTCAGTCATGCGTTGTGAAGGGAAACAGAGGCACAGAGAGGCAAAGTGATTTGTCAAAGGCTCCATAACAGGTCTAGGAAGTGCCAGGGTAGAACTCAGTCCCAGTCTCTCAGTCCAGTGCTCTATCTACTTGGCCATGTTGCCTCCTCTTTGACTAGCTCAAGATGCTGGGTTCTAGAAGGGACCTGAATTCAGCTGTCTTTGCTACAGGGAGGAACACTATTAAGAAGACCCTTTGAAGGTTTGGGGAGGGAGAAAACCAGAGAATACCTGCCGCAAGGAAAAAAAGGAATAATGGATTTGTGATTATGATACATTTCTGTGTCTACTTTGTAAATATCTTTACACTTATCTCTTGGTCTAAACTTGTGAGGCAGTAGATAGTCTACAGCCAGATTCAGAATGCTACCTCTGAGGTCCAAAGCAGACTTAAAATATTATTACCCAAGGGAATGCATACTTTTAGGAAGTCTTTGTTGTTTGTCACCTGAGGTAGCAATGTCCACCACAAGTAAAACTGAAGATCCGTTTGTCTCAGAGCAAAAAGAAAATAAATTCAATAGATAGAATTTTCTTCAAAGTGCTCCTAGAACTGACTTGTGCTGCAGGGGAGTAACTCCTTCAGGGGGAAACCGCGTGCTTTCCTCTGGGCATGGGGCAAGTTGTCTTGCCCAACTAGAAAAGCACTGGTAGTTTACTCCTAGATCTGTTACAAAAGGACAGGGATGGTTGACTTTCCCCTTCCTTCTTTTGTGCACCCAGGATTTTTACCAATGGGGAGAAAACCCCCAAGACAGCAGATTTTTTGCAGTGGAGATTGTTGCTGTTCTCTAGCAGGCCACCTGTCATCCTCATTTTCTATTAGATGGACATTTACTCTTGTGGATACTAGCAGCAAGATGGCAATATTTCCCTGCAGAACTGGAGTTTCCTTGGTATCCCGAGAGTCAGACCTCGGGGATTTTAAAGCAAGGATTTGTGGAAATGAGAAGAGCCTTAGCACGGCGGGTGTTTGCTAAAGGCGAAGCTGTTAACCACAAAGCACTATTTCCGTTCCAGAGAAAGTAGGAGAACTTTCAACGGACTGTTTCATGCCATGTTTGAGTGCCATGTTTGCATTTGATTTTACGCAGAGGTTAGTGGTGGGAGAGCAAATACCAAGTACCAGATCGCCTGTTAGCTGTAATAAGGGCTGCATGCCTGATTCCCCAGACAGCATGCTGAACATTTGCCCTTGCCGGCCTGGCCGTGCTAAGCAGAGTAAATAAATATATATATTTAGCTGAATAAGTGGAAAGTATTTTTTTTCTTGCTTAAAATATGCTGACATGAGCTCTGGAAAAAAGTCATTTCAGAGCAAACACTGCAAATTCCTCTCAGCCTTTGTTTAAAAAAAATAAAACAACTCATTACCTTATTGGAAAGATACGCCATTAAGATGAATATTACCCTCTTAGGGCCAAGTTCTTTTTTGTTCTTTCTCCATTTTTTAAAAGGTTACCCCCCAGTACATTTTTCAGCATAGGGAGGCAGTGTCATCTAGTGGTTAGGGCACTAACCCATGAGTCAGAAATGGTAATGCCATTGACCTACTTTGTGACCTCGGGCAAAGCTCTTAGTTTTTGTGGCCTGTTGTTTTCCTTCCTACTTTTTCTCTGATTTGTTTATTTAGAGATTGTAAGTTCTTTAGGTTCTGACTGTCCATTCCTCTATATTTGTGCAGTACCTAGCACAATGGGGCTGTTCTGAACCATCCTGTGTGTTCTACCTCTTGCTGTTCACAGATCTGGTAAACAGGGAGACTTGTAGATGGACAATGTTAGCCACTTCCAGTATTCATAGACGAGAGAAAATTGACACACTTCAAAAATACAAAGGCCTAGATGCTGCCTGCTCCTGGTGTAAGTGACCAATGGGATAGGAGAAGGATGCTGCCGCCTTATACCCTGCATGCTGAGAGGAGGCACAGTTAATTCCCTGACAGTGTTTCCTGAGGGGCTGGCCAGTCAAAAGGGAGCAGGAAGGAGGCGGGCCTTGACTCACAAGCATACATTCTGAACCAGCCAGTGGAGCAGGCTGTCTCTTTCTGGCCATTAAGGAGCTTCTGGAAGCACGGTGCCTCCTTCTCTCACTATCCCTTCAGCGCTTCCTCTTGGGCTATCTTGTCGTTCACACATCTTGATCCTATGGCATCTGCAAGGCCCCATAGTTCCCTCTTGAGTGTCTGTGTCTATCTGGTCCACACTATGCTCTTTGTACCCACCAGAACACTGACTGAGACCATTGCCTCTGTTTCAGTAATCACTCTCCACAAGAACTAGTCACACAACACTACCCACACCTCTTTCGAAAGAGGCTTTTTCGAAAGAATCTTTCGAAAAAGAGCATCTAGACTGCAACCAGTACTTTCGAAAAAGCAAGCCGCTTTTTCAAAAGAAAGCACCCAGGCAGTCTGGATGCTCTCTTTCAAAAACGCCCTGTTTTTCGAAAAAAGGCGTTCTTCCTCGTGAAATTAGCTTTACTGCCGTCGAAAGAAAATACGCGTTCTTTCAATTTAATTTCGAAAGAACGCGGCTGTAGTCTAGACACAAGTGAAGTTTTTTCGAAAAAAGGCTACTTTTTTCGAAAAAACCCTTGAGTCTGGACACAGCCTAAGAGTTCATCACAGGAACAGAAACTTAAAGTTGGCCCAGAAGAGAGAGGAGACTTGACAAAACCCAGCAAGAGCAGCATGGTCCAGGCCAAGGTTGCCACACTAGCAGGGACTGGCTGGCAATGTCATTTAAAGGGCAGCATATTTTTAATGCAGAAGCAAGTGGCTTTTAGAAAATGGCACTAAGGAAGATTTTGATCCTTTTAGGTTTAAATGCATACTACTTATGGGTGGAGATTAAGGGAAAGGGAGGTATATTTGGAGAAACTGATGTCAGATCTGTAGCAAAAGCTGTTCACTGGCAGGCACATAGCAGTAGCAAAGAGGGAAAGAAATATCCAGGAAATCATAAAGCATAAGCCCAGAAGTCAACAGGTTCCGTGAAAGTAACAGTCAAAACGCAAAAGTTAAATCTTACTAAGCTACTACCCAAGAATCTCTAAACTTTCAGACGCCAGCTTTATCCAATATGCGACTGCTCTTCTCTACTCAGGTTATGGGAAGATGTTTGTGGAATTCAACCCAGATGTCCATAGTCTTTTAAATCTAAACCTTTCTGAAGCACTAGACCAGCAAGATGCGCAGGTTTTTAAACCACCAGGTACCAGTCTGTTAATGACACAGCAGATAGCAACAGATAAGATTAACTGACTAAGCTAAGGGAAGAGAAACAAGCCAGGGTAATGGAAATATGAAAGGGAGAATTGTGACTACCAGCTAAATACTCCAGTCTTGGGATTATTTTTCTTTTCTTTTAGGTTTTACTGTTTGGTCTGAAATTCTAGTTTTCTTCCCCCAATCTTGCAAGTCTCCAGAATGGGTTAGGAGGGTACTAAAAAAGTACTGGCCGCATCTGCTGTGGCACTGTGATGTGTGTGGTCACTACAGACATAGACCCTGGCCCCACGAAGTCAAAGCAGATATGCAGTGAGATGAGTTGGCTGTGCAATGGAGCCACTAAAGGCGGGGCAGTTCATTGCCTGGCTCTGATTTGTTTCTGGGCCAACAGATGTAGTCAAGCCAAGGAGGACCAAGCCAGTGAAAATAATTACTGGCATTATTCCTTGGCATATGTTCATATGTCTCAGTGCATTTTACATGCCTAGAGCTAGCTTTGAAGTGCTGGCTGATGTTTGAGCACGTAGAGGTGAAGCAGACCTTGGGTTTGGCTCTGCTCTCAGGTTTTATGGCTTGCCCAGTTCGACCAGGGATTGCAACAGAAATGATCGGAGTGTAGATACTGTGGTGACAGATGCAATAGAAATGGATAGGGACTAGTTTCTGAATTATGGAACTTCCTTAATCCTGGAGAACCTCATGGTTCTGTGTTGATTAGAATTGCATTGTGGCCTATCTGTAGGCTATTTTGGAACAGCTTTCTTATTCCAGAACCAGACATGTCTATCTTCTACTGAAGATGACATGGGAGGAGCCCCTCCCTTGTATTCCAGTAACTTGGCTTCGGGTGTCCAGTCAGTAGATCTGACTGGACACCATCAGGCTCCCTTTTCATCTGGACTTTCTGGTCCAAAACCAAACACCTGGGCCACCCTACTTGGGATTACGCAGAAACTGTTCTAGGAGAAATTTGCATAATATTGAATCAGCAAACACA